TATCGGACTTTCATGATGAAAATAGGGCTTATGGCATCTACTAAGTATTATATCCAGCTTTCATTAACTCTGGAAATGCTTTGACAAATATATTTTTAAGTGTATGTTTCACTGTACCAGTGAAACTAAGGGAGACCAGCTAGAGCACTTGAACCTAATTATGCTTTGTTCATGTATATCCACTCTCTACATAAAGTCTTTTCAAGAGGATATGATAGTAATTCTGAGTGCAATGATACACTTCCTAATAGCTCTATTTAAAAGTTCAACACTCCTACATCTCCCTTTGAGAGAAAATATGAAAGTTTCAGAGGCTATTAATCTTAACTGGAGAGTGAGAACAGCATTCATTAAATCATCAAATATTTCAGCCAGGAACCCATTAAGTCCACTAAGTAATTCAAAACACTGTGAGGCGCTTCATAAAACTGCATTTAGCTGCCACCCTGTCATGTGGTTCAATGTAACTCAGTCGTGGGAACATGCCACAAACTCTGATTTACAGATTTCCCTCTACCAAAGCACAATATCTGCACAGCGTTTACTTGTGAAAGCAAGCAGCAGATTTTGAGAACATTGCAAGTAAATGTAACAGCATCCATGTAAATTACCATTACTATGTGATAAAAATGTATGCATTATGTCTTACTTACTGTGCTATCTTGCAGCTGGTTGTTCTAACAAAACGTCCTGTGTAGTGTATATTACACCTGACCACGTTGTTGGTAAAGTCTGATTCCAGTACCAAGAACTTGGGATTAACCTGGAGCTGAGAGACATACAGACAGAACGCATATTACAATTCACCATAATCACTACATTTCAACAAACCATAATGGGCTCAATGGTGCTTCAAAGAAAAGAGCATATTTGGGATAAATAACATTGAAGACAACCATGTATAGATCTTTTGTGTGTACATCTTGCAGCCATACTGACCACATACAATATGCATTAAAATAGAAAAAATGATGGACCATAAACTATGCCACTGAGCCATGAAACTACAGATACCTAAAAACTTCAGTAACTTTATAACTCTTTCATAACCTAGATCAATTTGTTTGTTTGTCCATATGTGACTCTCACTTGACTCTTACCTTTAGTATGTAGTTTCCAGGCTGGATGTCCGTGATATCGATCCACTGGCAGTCAATATCAGCATTGTATGTATCATAGCAGCCTGGGCTCAGACCCTGAAGAAGCAGAGGAGGAGGAGAGACGCACATAAGCAACACTGATCTAAGTCAAAAACAGTTGTTATGTCAGTGGTCAAAAAGTAAATACAATATGTTCTCATAAACATAAGCAGGCCAATGAATAAAAGCCAGCTGTTAATGTAACAGCCAATGAAAAACAGGGCCTGGCTAAGTAATAAATCTGTCACACATAATCCCCATTATATATTGGTCTATAATAGTATAACTACAGTGAATGTACATCGGCCTAGAGGTTGAAAAAGTGTGTGGTGAAAGGAGATGAACTAAAACCCCCAACTGGAGGTGAAAATCATAATGATAATTTCATCCTTTAAATTGCTGCGTTACCTGAGTGTGAGCAGTGCAGGCATAGCGCTTCAGGTGACCAAAGTCACAGGTGGTGTCCTCCAGACAGAAGCTCGCCTTGTGTCCCTCTGCCACTTTACGGCCAGTGCTGACCTCCAGTAAATCATAATGGCTGAACTCATCCATACTGTGGTAGTGCCTGTTGGAGCAAACAAAAGACTGTGCATGTTGTCAGGTCGTTAAGGTGGGCAATGAAAGAGTTTCATCTCATATTAGTGGTATCTGTTATGCGATTTGTACCTAAGAAACAGTATTTAGGCAGAAATTATTGTCAGTTGTAGTTTGTTGAGCTGCTATTGTAATTATAATGATATTACCATTTTTGTTTAAATTTAGCTTTTCCATGTTAAAGTGTAACTTTTAAAGACAAACAGTGACTTTATAGACTGTATATTCAACCTGTTGACCTCATCTGTTCACATTTTTGTAAGTGATGTTGCACCTTGACTGAACACATCATAAAGTATCAAAGGACAATGGATACTAATTAATGGCAACAATAAAGTGTTGCTTAAGCACGACATTAACACTCTAATGATGTATGAATGTTGTTAATTAGCTTGTATCAGTCCGCAAGATCGGAGGTGTGAGTGTGTGCGTGAGCATTTGTGTGTATGCGTTGTGTTAGTGCGTGTGCACTTGCGGTTGTTTTCATGTGTATGTGCACATAACACATTATACTGTGTGTGTGTAAAGGTGAGTGTGTATCACGGTCTGCATGTATTCGTGTGGTGGCTGCAGTGTGTTTTTGTTTGTTTGCACAGCTTTAGCAGCTTAGGAAAGCCTGGATGCACATGGCCACTGATCATCTCAATTGAATCGGAACATGAACCAAGTGACTCTCAGTGAGTGACTATGTCAATGAGCTGGTCCATTTGAAATCATCTGTAATATTAACTGCTATATGACATGGACCTCTCCCAAATGTCAAAGTGACCCAGGATGCTATATTTTACAAGCCTGTGGTACATGCTAACAAGAGCGTATTTACATGGAGTAGGATAACAACATAATCTCATGGTAATGTAAAAAGCTCTTTACATTATCTATTTATGCACAGCACTGGCAACAACTGCACACAAAACTGCCTAAATCCTACTTACCATTATAATTTATAAGTTTGTTTGTTTTACCTCATTCATGCGATTAAATGTTACTATTCAGTTGTTAAAATGTTTCTTATGATAAAAACAACACAAAGATTAGCCCAATGATTTATAAATGTTTTCAATCCATTACACTAATAGTTTACACTAGATTATAAAACTAAACTAAACTGCAGTCTTTTAGATACAAAAACAGCCTACAGTAATACAGCTTTAATACAGCTTTTAGCAGTTATTGAAAGTATTTATTTCCATGATCCTTTGATTCTTAAATTATTCTGTGCAGTATACTTAAATGGTGTTGACTCTGGTTGTTGTTGTAGCAGGTGAGGTAAGCACTGGATCTCTTACAGTCAGACAAACTCAGACTATATAAATATTGCCCTTTCGCCTTACTTCATGGCCCGATGTTTCAACACAGCACCAGCTTTTACTGGAACAGTCATTAAAGATTGAAGGATGACTTGGAAGGAAAAGTGGGTACTTTCCACTGATGGAGCAAGTGACCATTCAAGGACTCATTCTTTCCAAAGGCGAGGCAATCAATTACAAGCCACTCTCAGGTAGAAACCTGTCTGTTGTTATCTGAGGCTGAACACTATCTTTACTCTGACTATGAGCATAAATTACTTTTCTGTCTCTGTTAACATGCATATGTACATGACGTGTGTGTTTATAGGCTTATTTTACATGGGGCAACGTGGGCACACATACTTTTTGTGCAATACATGGGTGAGTGTATATTCAAATGTGTGTATGAACCAGGGTGGGAATGGCAGGATCTGGAAGGTCGAAGCACAGTCTCTGTTTGTATTACCGAAACTGGCATTCATTACAGTGGCAGTCTTGAGATGATTATCTACAGTACACATGTGTATGTGTATGTGTATGTGAAATAGAAAGAAAGAGTGCAGGAAGCAGAGAAAAAGATTGAGAGTGGGAGGCACTACACTATGAGGTTCCTGAAAGGGTCCCTTGCCTTCTTGGATTCCTGGATCCCCTCACTGACTATGTCAACTATAGAGAATGTAGTGTTGGAAGGACACATAGAGGATTTAACAAGAATTACTTGTAATCGTAATATACAAAACATTTCAATCCTTCTTCATAGTTGTGAGTCATTTTCCACTTGTGTTGCAACAAACAAGACTCTGAGGGCTTCTCAGATCACAGCTCAAGTTCTAAACCACAGAGACCTACAGTAGGTTCTTTGAGAACTATTTAGCAATGGCCTGACATTTGCCTTTCACAGGGTGCAACCAGGATTTGAAGACATATGTCCAAGCACCTGCACAAATAGCAGCCCTGATCTCACATAGTTTAATAAGTTGTTACCATAAGGGACTGAGATAAATAAAGCACAAGTTGAAGAACTGTATTATTAACTTTTCAAACAAGTTCTACCAAATAAGAAGAGCATTTCAATGACTTCCACTTGTTTCCAACACTGATTGGCATAAAAAATAGGTTCTACATGGAATTCTGTGTCCTCGTTTGTGTAAAAACATACAGACTTCCATTTTCACAGCCTGTGCGTCATACTCAAGAGGATGCTGTTCCCTTCCTTTCTTCTAATACTCCAGTGAGAAAGAAAGGGGTGAATGTAATGAAAAGCAAAACTGTCAACTACACAACTTATTCAACAGAAATGTAGGGCAAGAAAGTTTATTGTGAGAATCTGGGCTAGAGATTTTCAACCCCTGAAGAGATTTCTTTGTTAACAAAAACTCTGCCCCAGTAACCCATATCCACGCCATTATACTTTAGCTGCTGTGTGATCTGGTGTCACAGATTGACAAGAAAAATTGATTGATTTTTCATTCTGATCACACAGCCAGTGGAATGATTGCATTGGCTTTCTGCCTCCTGGGAACCACTGTGTAAATGCAGACTGATGTCAGACAGCAATAACACTGCCAATCTCCTAACGGCCAGTCAACATTCCTCTAAGATGAGGATAGCAAAGCGGAGCCGGGCAGTGATGGCGTCTGTGGGCGAACTTGCTGAAATTGAGATGAAAGCCAGTCTACATGGAATATAATGTCATAAAACAATGACGATACCACCAAAGTCACCTCATCAGCAGTCCCCCAGAGATATGCGATCTGAGCCATGACTGGCTTGCTAAATCAACTAAAATCTATCCATTGCTAAATGAATCAAACTCACAAGCTACATATTATTATTTGTGTAGGACACAATATAGGTTTTTTTTGGATAGTCTTTTTACAGACAGTTTATATTTATAGTATTTGTATCATAATTTATTAGTTATGGTAAATGGACTGTACTTATATAGCGCCTTTCTAGTCTTCCGACCAGTCAAAGTTATCATCACAAACAGAAACTAATTCAGTCATGTGTAATTTAATACAGTAGTAGTTACAACCACATTATGGTTAAGGTATGTAAGATGTGTACAGACATTAGCAAATATAAATACAATCTGTAAGTATAAAATTGCACTGAAATAAAATAGTTTGCTGACTAGCTCCCTGGTTACCGCAACAGCTGATACTATAGCCAGTAAAGCATAACAAGTTGATTGGGTAAAATCTGTTTTGTATTAAGTACTTACTGATGACAGCTATGCCACTCCCAGGTATGACGTGGCCTGTTAGGCATGAAGTCGGCAGTCCCCTTGTTCTTCACCCTCTGTGGAAATCGCAGCAAGACCCTTACATCATAGTCGGTGGTCTCAGGGCCATAGGCGGTGCTGAATGGCAGACACACACATTAAGACAAAAACAGTAAGAGGAACTTCAAAAGTGTCTGCAAAAGGAATGCCGGCATGTCTGTTTCTCATAACTAAGACAAGGAAGAAAAAAAAGAGCAAGGCTGGAAAGGCTCAGAGGCAGGAGCATATCTACTAAATATTTCATTCTACAGATTACAACCATCACTCCAAATACACAGTTTGAGCACTGGGAGAGGGAACATTTTGTTGCACGATTCACTTTTTTGTGTGAGAGAGGAGGCACAAGCTCGAGTTCACAATACCACTGAAGATCTAAGCTATTCGTCTTGTGGCTGTTGTTGACAATGGAGTGTACGGCAAATTACAACAGCCCATCTGTCGGTGATTGCTGCAAACTCAGACAGGATATGAAAGGGCTTTGAGGGATGGCTGTGCTTGTGATGGGAAGAGGGCAAATAGAGCAGGCATGGGGACAGCACACTTCCATCATTTCAATAGTGTCCTTAGTGCAGAGGCAGTCAAAAGGCCCAGGCCCAGAGCTCAGGGGATGCTATCCGCCAACAAAGAGAAATGAAACTAACGATAGACTGTAATCCCGAAGGTGACCAGGATTTAGTTCATTGATGTTGTGCTGTTGGTCAACTTTTTTTATTATTTCTTTCAGATATTGTTGCAAAAAACGGGTGTATTCCTGAGGCTACTTTAGAATTGTGGATAGTTTACTTGCTGGTCAATGCTACACAAAGGTGAAGGAGCTTATAAAACATGTTGTTTATGCATGATCCGAAGCAGGACACCAGCCTATCAAGGAGCTACATTAAAGGCCCAGTGTGTAACATTTAGGAGGATCTATTGGCAGAAATGTAATATAATATGCATAGGTATGTTTTCATTAGTGTATTATTACCTGAATATAGGAATTGTGTTTGCATTATCTTAGAATGAGACGTTTTTAATCCAAAACGCCACGGCTCACTTGAACGTCTGTGGAGTGTGTTCACCACTAAGCCACAAAGCTCCCCTTAAGATATTGCAGAAACCATTCAAATGAGAACATCTGTCACTAACATGAAAACTATAAAGAGGCAAGAACATTTGAAAAAGAAAGTAAGAAACACATATATAAATACACACAAGCCATTAAAGGACACCCAGAATTATGTTTACCTTGACAGACATTTTTCTTCAGCAGCACAACGGAGAGAATACATGTGGGCTCTCTGGATATATGTGGAAGCCTGCACATAGTTGGGATCAGGAACCAGGTCAGGCAAACCTGAAAAGACAGACAGACTGCTCACCCTCTATCTTCATCAATGATTGGTAATCTGTGACCAGTCACCTTTTGATCTCTTTGAATTCCAGGCCTTCCCAACACTGCCAGTATACACCCCAGAAACAGTGGAACTCTTTCGCAAATCTGTCATCAATTTCTTATTACCTGGTATTTATGGTGGAGTTGATGGATGATATGATGGGCAACAGTGCAGTGACAGGGCCCACAGTTCATGACTGGGTCACTCTAGAGAGAGCCGTCAGCCACTAATTACTGTGCATTCCAGATTATTATCGTGGTTTTCTAATGAGACACTTTTGCTCCATAGGCCTCTCAGACAGGGGTGAGTTTGGGGTGAGAGAACACAATGATTACATTTGGGCCTCTACTGTACAAAACCACTCAAATGTAAGACACATATAACTACATATTGACTTCCAGTGTTGAATACAATGTGCCTCTCACCAAATCCATATTGTCTTTAGGGAAAAAAGATTATACCAATAATTTCGTGCCTTCTTGACCTACATTGATATGATCTTCCACGACACTAATCCTAAAATGAGCGTGTCACTTCAGCTTAACCTTTAATATACTAGACATAGGATAACTGTTGGGGGATAAAGCTAAACTTGGAAATATCTCAGCTATTGTATCACAAGAGTTCTTGTTGCAATGCAGCCTATGTATGAGAGGGAGAACGTGCATACCAGGGCAAAACAACAGTGATCTCACCCCAGTGCTGTTTTTAAAGAAAACCTGGAGGAACACGTAAAAAAAAAAAAAAAGCAGGCCTGACTTGTCAGAGGGACCGTCTGTCTGCCTACTTACTGCTCCATGCAAGGGTCTCTGGTATAGCTTATCACCCCTCTCGGTTTGGCTCACAAAGGCCAGACATGCTTTAATGTGAGCTTGTTCAAGCAACTGAAAGGCGAACCATCTGACCTCTAAACTTGGAATCATTCATAAAATCACAAAAATGATGCACAACTGTTAATTTCTGTTGCAGCAGGCCCAAATCATATACAGAAAAACAGATAATGAAAATATGCACAGTTATATTGTTATTGTGAACTAACATGAAGGGCTTTTAAGTTTCTTATTTTATATTTGTCCAGTGTTTAACATCCACGTGAGTCCCCCCTCTTTAAACTAAAGTTTAAATAAGGGCTTTGCCTTTGCAGGCATTGTGTAAACATCCCATCTGACAACCCCTCTCTGAGGCTGACATATAGGACAGGGGGAAGCTTCCTGGGGCAGACCATGTAAACACTGTAAGACCAGTGTGAAATGCTGAGGTTTTCCAACAGCACTCTCAACTGCATTTTTTTTTTCATCCTCACCCCAGGAAGGCTTTGTTCTCTGCCCCCTAATCTTTTGAAATATGAAATTGGGTCTCCTCAGAGGGATAAAGTGTATTGAGAAGCCAAAGCTGATCAGCTCTCGACAGCATGTGACCAAGCCACACATTATACTCTAAGTGGGACATGGAGAAAAGAAACTGAATCTCGCTTTGCTTTTCATACCATCTAATATAACATAATAAAAGACATGAGAGCTCCCTCTCCCGATACTCTATAGGTTATTGGCTGTTGGCTGCAGAGGACTGACATACTGGGATATTTAAAATTCATTTAGGTCATTTTAAAATGAAAAATTAATAAAATCACAACAGCATTTGGTGATTATGGTCAACTCTACTTTCAGACAATAACTTGGTGTGCATCCAAACAAAAACAAAGCAATACCTCTTTCCATCCACTACCATTATGCGATTATTAGGAGTTGGTTTTAATTTAACCTTAATCATAGTACTAGGGAGGGTTCGATATTGTCATCATTGATATTTGAACTGTTTTTAGAACCCTTGGCATTTACATTGGCGTAAAGCAAAGATACCCAAGGGGTTAAAATGGACCAGGAAGAGCACAACTTCTTTTTGTATCAAGGAATCCTCATCCAGCAGCAACCGAGATTTATTCCATTATTGCTAAGTCAGACGCCATGACTCTTCCTAAGATATTCTCACCTGTCACCAGAGAGTCATTGCCGTTAGGTTTGGTATATTTAGGGATTAAATTCAGACCAGGGTTGGAAAAAATTATGCAAACTAATATCTCTCCTGTTAGCTATTTAACCTGTCCTACAAAACTGGGCTGAAATGAATATATCCCTACTAGGTAGGATTAATTTGGTCAAGATGATTATCCCTCCCCAGATTCATTATATTGTAGCTTTTTTCTTTTTCACCTAACCTTTTAAAATTATTAATAGTTGGGAAAAGATTTGGGGGAGAAAATTGCAGAAGGCAGATGGAAGAAGTTAGGATACTAATATACTGTACGTGAAGCCCAATCTAAATTTATTCTGTATAAACTGCTGAATAGAAGCTTCTGTACCCCAAGTAAATTAGCCAAACTAAAACTAACACCTATGGGAAGATGTTTTTACACTTTGATATATGTGTTTCATATACAGTTAAATAAATCTCCAGCTTTATGTATTTTGGGGCTGTTACCGGACAATATTATTGTGAATGGACGAAAGACGTTCTGGGTCCATCTGGCTACAGCTACAGGATATAGAATAATTTTGAGACACTGGAAATCACCTAGCCAATGTTGTTTTAAGGAATGGTTTAAGGTGATGACAAAAATTGTTACTTTTGAAGAAGATAATTTTCCAACAAGTCTAGGGCTCCTTTCTGGCTTTAATAGAGGAAATGTCTCATTACTTTTGTACTGGCACCTGATATAATGAACTGGGTCAAGGCATTCTGTACCTATTTTTATTTCTTTCTTTTTTTCTGTTTTCTTCTAAACTTTATTGTTGTTATCATTGTTTTTTGTTTTGTTTTTTGTGTTTTGTTTCATGTAGTCCACTGTTGTATTGAGCATGCAGCCTTGGTTGATGTAAGGGGACAATTGTCTGTGGTTGTGGACTGGTCTGTTACACTTACCCTTTGTTTGTTTTGTTGCTGTCTGTGCTCTTGGTTTGAAAAGAAAAAGAGAGGACAGTAAACATGTCTTTTGAATTTTATAAATGTGAGATATTAATGATCTGTTAAATCCTGTCAAAATATCAATAAAAAATAAAATAAATACATAAATGAGTACCAGTCAAACTGCAAATAGAGAAAAACACAACAGAAATATAGCTTTTATGTTTGTTTCTTGTATTTATTTGGGGAATAGAGTATCCTTATAGCTACACAATATTTTAATGTTTCGATCTGCAGACATTTTTTAGCTTTGGCTGTGGATCAAGCCCGATTTACTGTATGTGACTTGAATGTCAAACCATCTGACAGTTAAAAGCAATGACTGGGAAGTAGTTCTGCACTGAAACTTGTTTCATGGCCTTAAACTTAATCGTTGCAGTTATCTGTAGATTTTGGTTGCTAAGGCTTGCTAGCCTGGGAACCAGACAAATCTACGAGCTCATGTTCAATTTTCTCTGGCCACCCTCCCATTCAGACAGAGTTCCCAAAGTCATGGAACCTGTCGGGCCCATTACAACCATTTTCATCTAATATGGGATAGGTTTTATTCAATGACTGTACAGAGGAGCTTAACCTTATTGGCTATTGAGGCATATCGTTACACAACCAGAATGCTGGCACTCTAACTGTTTCTGTTGAATCCACTATCATGTCAGTATTAAACGACCTGGAAGGTATATTTTATCTAAAAGAACAAACAACTGCACTTAAAGCTTCCGACAGGATTTGGTAAGTTTAATTTACAACTATTAACTATGTACATCGCATGTTTGTTGCTCTGATGTGGTTTCTGCAAACCAAATGTGTTGCACCTGTTGATAACGCCCCTTGGAAATCAAACATTAACCGAGAGGCTCTTGTCTAATTTGTATTTGTTTATAAGTTGCTTACTAGCTTGCCCACCCACACTCACTCTACCCTAAGCTATTAGTACTTCGTTTTATTTCTATGCACTCGCATTAATAGCCCACATATGATGAGATAGACTGAATTAAATTCAATGAGCAGACTGACCATTGAAAAATATGTGTATTTTGATATATGACTGTCAGTGTGTGAGCATGTGTACTTTTCTGCCTCTGATATAACCCGGCATTCCCCTTAACAATAGCATTATGAACATGCTAGTCTGTTGAATAGTTATTACAATACTATAACACCTTAATGCAGTGCCATGAAGCAGTGCAATAAAAATGTCAGCTTTCCAACAGCTCCCAATAGCTGACTCTTTATCACGATGATTACTGGGAGCACTAAGGCATCTGCACACATGTTGGCTTTTTGTGCTGTAGAAATGGCTCCCAGCTCTAGAGTGTCTAATGAATGATAGTTGCAAGGCACACAGCACACTAGAGAGACTGCAGCACAGTAAGGCAGATCATTGAGTAAAACAAAAGGTAAATCTACATTATTAAGAGGCTGAGAATCTCATTGGAGGCCCTCATTGCCTATGAGCTCAGACCATATACAGCCTCTGTCAGAACATACACTTCTTAAGTTGTCATTTCCCCCCTCAGCATTAACAATAAGCTAAAGAGAAACCTCTTCCTCCATAGTGCAGTGATAGGTTATGAAAATAAACTCTCTGCTATGTAACAGTAACCTTCTTTTACTTCAAGGTATTGCACATTTTGATACTCCTCATTCTTCCCCTACTGAATATTTCTTTTATTTCCTGTAGCTGAAGCAATGGACCCCATGTGTTACAGGGACTTTCCACATTCTCCCTCCCCCTTGAAGAGTGGTGAAGAACAGTATCCCCCTCCCTTGTTTCCCCTCTCCTGTCCTAAAGCCCAGGAGGCAGCCACTGACCACCCACACCCCCTGTCACCAGCCCCCCCTATGAGGTCACCACCACCATTACCAAACTCCATACGCCTGTGAACCAGGCTACTTTTGTGTAGCACAGAACTCCCCACGCAAAAACACAGAGGTTCTTGTGTGTGCTCTCTGTACATTGGCAGGGCTTGTTCAACACCTGGTTTTAATAACTATACAAGTCGGAAAAGATTAACCTTGCGTCCACTTTGCTTTGTTTGTAAACTGAAAAAGAGGCTGAATTTTAAGCAGCTGTTTCATTCTGATTACTTCAGATATCTGACGAACATGAAAAGAGAACATTGGAAAAATATGATACTTGAGGGGGTGGTGAGCTCACAGCTCCCCTGGGTTTTGCATATTTCAAATTCATACTTGAAATTCATGTCCAGCAGTAACAGAAATCACATGGCAACCTTTTTATTTTCTGCCTCAGAGACAGAAATACCTTGGGTGAATGCCTCTAAGTGAACATACTCTCTTCTTTTACTGAAAATGTGTAATATTATAGTGTAAGTATATTTTAAGTGCTTCAGAATTTTTTTGAAAACCACATTGCTCCAAATGCTACATTTATTTGCCATCCCGCCTATGTATCACAG